TCTGGAGTGGAGTCCAAACCATCACCAACTTGTTCCCAAACACTGGAGCCGACTGAAAAGTTTCTAAAAGCTTGTGTTAGTTCCAATGGTTTGTAGACGACTCTCTTCTTCTCCTCGTCCCAGTAAACCTCATCGTAACCGGTGGTTGGGAAGTCCTTTCTGAGAGGGTGGCCGGTGAAACCGTAATCCGTCAAGATTCTTCTCAAATCTGGGTGGCCCTCGAAGAAGATTCCGTACATGTCATACGTTTCCCTCTCATACCAGTTGGCACCTTCATACAAAGAGGTAATACTTGGAACTGGGGAAACTTCAGATGCATAGGTTTTGACTCTGATTCTAGAGTTGTAACGAACAGACAGCAAGTGGTAAACGACGTCGAATCTGTTTGTACGGCTTGGGTAGTCTACACCGGTGATATCAACGATGGATTTGAACTGAGTGGTTGTGTGGTTCTTCAAGAAATCCATCACCGGGAGCAAGGCCGTTGGCGAAACGTAGATGGTCAAGTCATCCTTCCAAACAGTGAACTTCTGGATGAACTTTGGCAAAGTCGTGATCAAGTACTGTCCAAACTTGTGCAAGGACTCGGACGTCTCTTTGTACTTGTCTGCTGGGTTGACGATTGGCTCGTGTAGTTCACCATACTCCTTGCGAGGCAAATCTCTTGGGTTTGGAAGCTCACCTTCTCTACCAATCAAGCGGGCAGCGGTGGACGCAAATGAGCGTGCAGCGTTGTAGCGAACGCTTGCCGCTCTAACTGATTGTTTCAAACCTAAGCGAAGCATGGCTTTATTCTTAAAGACGGTGATGGAAAGTGCGTGGAAGTGGTTGTTTACGCTCGCTCCTTCTTTCACTATTTTTTTGTCCAATGAGGCCTCCCCCTTAAAAAAATTACACAAAACCAATAATCCCGGTATATTATGTAATCATCGGACACTCTGCACTCACAGCAAAGTCTAAAAATGTGGTCACGGGGTTAAGAATGCGCTCGTGTAGCTCAGTGGTTAGAGCCTCGTGCTTATAGCGGCAAAAGTTTTGACGTTGTGCAAATGTCACGAGTAACGCGATCGTCGTGGGTTCAAACCCCACCTCGAGCACAATTCTTTATTTTTTTTTTTGGGCCTCATGGTGTTCATATACACCCAGTTCATTGTTGTTTCTCTCGCATTATCCACGGTTGGTAGAAGGATATTTGCTCTACGGATGTAATTGATCAAGTATACAGCGAAAGACGGTGGTGATCTACGGTTGCTCTCTTTTATTCTTTGTTTCCGTATCTGCTGCTGTTCATGTTGGAAAATTTCGTGTATCAGGGAGCCTGGCATCAGGGCAAAAAATATAGGGAAAAAATTTATGAAAAATTATCTACATCAAGGGACATTTATATATGGAATAGAGCACCAAGGTTTCGCTGTAATGCCGCCAAAACAGAAGAAACAGAAGGAACTTGTGCAGGATGAGCGTCTACAGGCAATTGTCCTGACGGACTCTTTCGAGACCCGTTTTATGCCCTTGACGTCTGTCAAGCCTCGATGTCTACTGCCATTGGCAAACGTGCCTCTCATTGAATACACTCTGGAGTTCTTAGCGAAGGCCAACGTCAATGAGGTGTATTTCATGTGCTGCTCACACGCAGACCAGATCCAGGAGTACATCGAACAGTCGAAATGGAGCACGTCGGGGTCGCCATTCAAGGTGCAGACCATCATGACGCTAGAGTCCAGATCCGTTGGTGACGCGATGAGAGACCTGGACAACAGAGGCTTAATCACCGGTGACTTCCTGCTCGTTTCCGGTGATATGGTGACAAACATACAATTTGATAAAGTCATGGAGGCTCACAAGGCAAGAAGAGCCGTGGATAAAGATCACATCGCCACCATGGTGTTGACACAGGCTAGTGCATTGCACAGAACGAGATCTCATGCTGAGCCTGCTGCCTTCATCCTCGACAAGAAGAACGATAGGTGTCTGTATTATCAGGATATCCCAGCTGCAGATGGTAAGAAATCATCGATATCCATTGATCCTGAAATCTTGGAGGGAGTTGATGAATTCGTCGTTAGAAACGATCTGATAGACTGTCACGTTGATATCTGCTCACCGCATGTCCCAGCAATTTTCCAAGAGAACTTTGATTACCAATACCTCAGAAAGGATTTCGTCAAGGGTATTCTATCATCTGATATTCTGAAGAAGACGATCTACGCGTACATCACAGACAGTTACGCGGCCAGAGTGGAGAGTTGGCAAACTTACGATGCCATCTCTCAGGACATATTGGCAAGATGGGCATACCCTGTTTGCCCAGACTCCAACTTTTTGGAGAACCAGTCCTATTCCTATGAAGGTAAGCACGTCTATAAGGAGAAGGACGTCATACTCGCACAGTCCTGTAAGATCGGTGCATGTACCGCAATTGGCTCCAACACGGTAATTGGTAACTTGACGACAATTGAATCCTCTGTGATTGGAAGAAACTGTAAAATTGGTAACAACATTGTCATCAAGAACTCTTACATCTGGGATAACTCTGTCATCGGTGATAACACCGTATTGGATCATGCTATTGTTGCCAGTAACTGTACCGTTGGCAAGAACGTACTGTTGGACAAGGGTTCTGTGTTGGGATTCAACGTTACTGTCACGGATTCTCAAGTAGTCCCAAGAGACATCAGAATCTCTGGTAAATTCGTCGAGGCTGGTGAGCCGAACTTTGATGAAAGTGATTCAAATCTTGAAGAAGATCACACGGTTGCATATGACTACGTTGGTGAAAATGGTATTGGCTACTTGTACGAATCCGAGTACTCAGACACCGACGATGAAGCTTCAAAGCCTGTGAACTCGTTGATGTACCAGATGGGTGCATTGGCGTTGTCCGACGAATCCATTGCATCAACTTCACAGAATGCCGTGAAGCATAAGAAGAAGAGAACCTTCTCTACAAACTCAGTGGCGACCGCTACGGACCATGAAGATGAAGATTTCGAAAAGGAAGCCATCGCAACCGTGGTGCGTGCGCTGGAGAACAACCACGACCTCGACACGGCCCTTTTGGAGCTGAACACACTGAGAATGAGTATGAACGTGACGTATCATGAGGTGAGACACGCAACGCTGTTTGCTCTCCTGGGAAGAGTAACGCATTTCATCGAGACCGGCACCTTGAACGCCAAGGAGGCCACCGACAAAGTGTTCAAGCAATGGAGCGCTCTCTTCAAGAGACAGGTGTTTGACGAAGAGGAGGAAGTTGACCTCTTGGAAATTGCAAACAAGCTGACTAGATCCAGAGAGAAGGGCAAACAGATCTTGCTCTATGTCATCTCCATCTTCTACGATATGGAGATTGTCTCTGAAGAGTCCATCCTAAAATGGTACAACTCAAGCGACGTGGACAACGAATACGTTGCCAAGTTCGTACAATGGTTAGAAGAAGCGGAGGAGGATTCTGAAGAAGAATCTGATTAGCTCTGTTAATGAATAACTTGTCTTCTCTGCTCAGACGGGCCTTTAGTCGTTGTAGTTCCTACCCGTGCGTCCCCGGCTCAGGGCCTAGCGGCTATACGTGAAAACCCGTAGCGGGCGCTCTTCCACCACACAGACCTTAAGCACGGTGCCTAAGCAGACACACATAGAGAGACTCAGGGCATCCATGACCAAGGAGATAAACGACGAGCTTGCTGTCCAGGACAAAGCGATCAACCTGTACAAACAAGGAGAGCAGAAGGAGCTTACCGGTCTCATGAGAGATGCGATTATCCTCTACAGGTCTGCCATCAAGGTGAGTTTGTGAAGCGGCTTCAATGGTGAGCGGGTACTAATAAGGAATGCCACGCAACAGTTGTATCCTGGTGTGGAGAAGCTCTATAGAAAGCAGCTGAGCGAACAGTATGCTAAGGAGAAGGAAGAGAGCACTGTGGATCAACTTACGCGGATGAAACTATCATCAGAGAGTGATGCCGACGCGGAAGTGGAGGATGACAACGCCACGGCGGTAGATCCTTGCTGGTTGTTGGAGATCTTGCCCGACGATATCCTCATTGAGATCATCACCATATTGGCATACATTGATCCAAGAGCGCATGTGTCGTTCTCAACTACATGCCAGAGAATCTCACGCGTATCTTTTGACCCTATAATATACAAGCACCTGTGTAAACAAATATACCCTCATCAGGTGTACTCACAGGTCACAAGAGATTTGAACAACATCTCAGACGATCAGGAGGAGATGGTGAAATCCTGGGATTTCAACTGGAAGGAGATGTTGCACGATAGACCGTTCGTGAAATATCACGGCGTTTATATCTCTAAGGTGAGTTATATATCTGAAGGAGAAAGAGAATACACTTTCTACGCGCCTGTGAAGTTAGTGACATACTTCAGATATCTGAGGTTCTATCCGGACGGCACTGCCTTCAAGCTGACAACCACCGATGAGCCTGCTATTATCGTGCCAATATTCCACAAGGAGAATCATGAAAGCATCAAGAACAGTCTCTTGACGAAATGGCACATTGAAATGGATGGTCAAGTGATTATGACCCGGAAGACTTCAGATTTTGAATTTGTTGAAGAGCTCAAAGTAGTTCATCTGGGTGATCGTAAATACCATAGGCTGTTATGGGTTAACTCAGGAACGATTGATAAAGATGGTGAAAGAAGCTACTTCAACATGAAGAAGGAAAAACCGTTCAATTTCAGCGGTGTAAAGCGATATGAGGTACACTACGGTAGAACTGTTGCTTAAACAGCATGGAATTACTATTCTTCGGTGGTGAAGATCTGACTCGGATCGATGTGACTTTGATAACCGCATATTAATTGCCCTGGATGTACCGTTTCCGTTGGTGAGCAGTCCTCTTCAATGATGGTACTGTTGATGTTTCTTTTCCAATTCTTTCGAAATCGACTAACTTCCACAACATCAACTGATTTATTCTGTACAGCTCTGGCTACGTATAGCATCTCCTCCGTCAGTTTTATCAACTGGTCTGGTAACTTTGTTGTAACCAGTGCCCTCCAGAGATGTGAAACATCAACAGGTGGATCCATAAGGATGTGAATCATCAAATCTAATCTTTCACCTTTTAGAAGATGATCAGGCTCGACATGCCGTACTGTACGTGGCCACCAGGGAGGCTTACTCGCTTCTGCAAGTTTGTAAGGATGTGATGTTTGCTTTTTGGGCTCAATGGTCTTTATCCATGCCTTTGCAATCACTTTACACGGAACCTGCTGTAATTCTACCAA